ACTGCAAAAGCTATACGGTCTTTCCCTAAAATCCAGGCCTGTTTTTCCAAAGCAAGAGTGTTGATTTCTTTTTTTCTCGCAGAGTTCCTTTATCACTTACACAAATGCATATTCTAGTCCTTGCTTCCCCGACTCCTCCTCCAACCCCACCTCACCCAAACGTAAGAAACTTCCCTGTTGCCTAAGGAATAGCCAGGTAGACTTTGAATATACGTATTTTCAGTAATGTGTTTCTGAGTTAGCAATTTGAAATCATGTTTTTAGTGAGAAGCCAATAGTTCCCCTCAAAGGAAGGTGGTGGTGATGGTTTTTCTGCTATGAAAATGGAGAAGAGTCCTGTTTTAGAAGACTCTTTCCGTTTAGTGTGTTAAATTGGGATGATAACCAAGAGGTATTAGTAGTTCTGTTTGATTTCTGTCTTGGTAAATGTGTTTGCTAAGCTTTTTAGTAACGGTTAAGTTCTTTCTCCACTTCTGCAAACCACAACTTGGCTTTCAAGAAACACGTGGCAGTTAGATGTAACTTTTCTGTAATTGGTCAGTAGCTCATCCTTAAATAGAATTGGGGGTTTGTGCTCATGCCAGTCTTACTAATCAAAAATCCTCAGTTAAAGGGGCAGCAAGAAGAAGGAAATAAATTGATTTTAAAAAAAGTTTAAATTTGGGAAGTGGTAGGAGAGGACACTCAAAATATTTCATTATATTTTAGCACATAATGATCTTTTCGTTCCTATGTCACCAATCACTTTCGATCTTTAGCCCAAAGACTTTCTCAGCCAGGGTCCTCCTCTGAACCACAGAATACAAAAAACTGATCTGAGTGACTGTGTTGTCAATTCTCTCATGGATGATAGTGTCAAGATCATAAAAGGTCTAAAATATTACCCTGCTTACAAGCTACTAAATTAGCTGGTCATGGTTTCATGGATACTGGAAGAAGACATGGGACTCCCAGTCAGAGCCAAAGGATGCTACTAATCTCGGTAATCAGAGTATCAGTATTTTCTTATGCCAGTTCCCCTAGTCCCATTTCCCACAGGATGATACAGCATGGCCCAGGTAATACCTGCATGTGGAGTTACAGGAGGAGGAATCCAGAGCTTAGAAAACCCCACTCTTATGACGGGTAGAGCCTGCTCTTAGCTCCAGAGAGAGACACACATAATCTCTGTCTCCCGAAGCTATTTGCCCTAAAAATGTCCTTGGAAAGATGGTCCGGAACAAAGGGAGGCAGTGCCTCTTGCTCATTAGATGTGCAGAAACATGAGAGATGCATGGAAAATGGCCTCCCAACAGACATGTGGCTAGAACCATTCTAGATGTACGGGAGAGGTGGTTACTGATTCTGTATACTGATGCCTTAGGGCCTGATTCTCTCCTGCAGCCCAGCTTGAGAAAAAACTGCTAGACCTTTGCTATGGGCTGCCATCCCAAGATGCCTTGTGTTCCTTCAAACAGTTTTAAATCAAGGGAAAGAGAAAATCAAAAAGTCTCTTTTAAAATAAATATTTTCTTCTATCGTTTTTGGGAAAATACAGGCATTATACTTTTTTTTTTTCCTTTTTGTCTTTTTTACTGACTGGTAACAGGTTTGCAACCCTCGGTGTCGTGCCCGTACTGGGGACCGGCAACGGGATCGCAATCCTCGGTGTTGCGCCCGCACCGCGCTCAGCCAGTGAGCAGGAACCGGTCTCCACATGGGATCTGAACCCTCGGCGGGAGCGCCGCCACGCTCCCAAGCGGCGCACTCTCCAGTGCGCCACCACGCCGGCCCTGAAATGACAGTATTAAGTACACATGGTTAAGTAAAATTATAATCAATTTCACCTGTTTTAGTTTTTTTTTTTTTTTAGCATAACTAATAGAAAAATTAACATTACATACATGACTTGTATTTTGTTTCCACTGCATAGAGGTAGTCTAGAGGATGAAATATTGTCAATGATAAAGATGGAATACTGATATACCAGGGAGACAGACAGGTTCTGCTGTAGAAACTAACCAACAGGCATTATACTTTAAGAATTAAAATTTAAAAAATTTTTCTGTATTTATTACCCCCCCCCCAAAAAAAAAAAAAATACCCAAATTCTGGCAAGTAGGAGATGGTTATATAGTGAAGCTCATGATAAAAATTTTTTGCGTTAAAAATCTGGACAGTTGGCTTTTGGGAGACACCTATGAACCAGACCATTGTCTGACCTCTGCTGGCAGAGGTGTGAACTCATCTGATGACTTGACTATATGTATTTACTCACTTCTTGCCTCATCCCCACAGCCTCCCAGTGGACAAGCCTGTGAAAAGTTTCTTCTGTCCAAGCAGCTACTCGACTCTGTTTCCCAAACCTTGTTTCGCTACATGGGTCTCCTCTTTTATGGGGCTTCCAATTCTCCAAGTGACTTACTGCTTCATCTCTAGAGACTTTCTGGACTTGCTTTGCTAACTCTTGTGAATATTCCAGCTCACAGTGTTTGTGCCCATGTGGGATTCTGAGCTCCAAAGAAAAAGTATTTGGCTGAGGCTTCTGAGATACTGTAGGGAAAACCCAGGAACTTAAATACAGACATTTTACTCTAAATGGGAAGATAACTCAGTGAACCGTTTAGTGTTAAATTACATAGAACATATGTGAGGGTCCTTCAAAAAGTTCATGGAAAGATTTGTATTATCTTTTACTTCAGTTTTTCCATGAACTTTTTGAAGTACCCTTATATACGTTGAACAACAAAAAAAGATCACAGAAGACACATTGAGAGTTTGACCCTGGACGAGGATTGCTGATTCTGAGTTCCAGCTTTGAGACAAGATGGAAAAGCCAAGCTAAGGGACAGGCCCTGACCTTCTGCATCTGTTATTCCAATACTTCTTTCACTTTCCAAAAACTAAGGGCTATTTTTCCTTCACAAACAAAAACAAAAACAGTGAGGGTTAGTAGGTAATAGTTAAAAAATGCGTGATCTTCGTTTTTAATAGTCATATTGTTACCTTATCTCCATCCTGTAGATGTCCTCCCTCCAAGCGGATGGATGGCCACCGTGTCACCACCTGACTCTTTATGACTGGGAAGGTTGATGGGGGTGTGGTAAAACATCTCATCTTCCACCAACACCACCCTCCAAGCACCTTGAGTAATTGCTGCGGGATAAAATGGCAATTGTGTAGCTAACTGTGGTCTTACATTCCCTGTCAGAGCTAGTCCTTTCCTCTCCTGTCCCTTCCTGATTAGTGAGGGTTCATTTTCTGCTCAAGAACTGAGTGACTTTTGTGGCTGGTGATATAGATCTCTTTAAGCCTTATGGGTTTCTTGGCTTGAGATGATAGGTCTTATTAAAATGAATGGCTGGATAGAGGATTTATAAATAAGTTATCAAAGAATAATGTTTTCTTAAATGCTCCTCCTCCCTTAAGATAGGGAACTGTCTATGTGTTAAATATCCACCAGGTCAATAATACACGTGATTCGTAAAATCACATTTTCATTTTAGAACTTCTAAATTGGTTGCTCAGATGTTGGTTGAAGGCTTTACGTCTCTAGCACTCTGCCTGGCTTTCTAGGGTCTACAAAAAGAATGAAAGACCTGATCTTGCTTCAGAGGCAAGAGAAATACCTGAAACCATCAGAGAATAACTATTACCAACCTGTCCTCCCATTTATTTATGTGATAGGCCTTCAAGGAAGGTTTGTGGATTAGATAGGCCAAAAGAGGAGTATTGGAGGAGGCGAGACTAGAGCCGAGCAGAGGAAGGGAAAGATCAGAGCGTGCAGAGGTGGTAGAGAACCTTGAGGAGAGGAGAAACCAGGAGCGTAGGTTTGCCAGGAAGCAGCGCTGTCTTCAGGCAGGTGGGCTGCTGGGGCTGGGGCGCCCCGCGGCAGGTGGAGGAGCACACTAGTTCTTGGGGAGGCAGAGTGGGTAGACCTGGTCTGCGGCTGCTGAGCATGGCCGTGCTGGAGGAATGAAGCCGGGGGCTGGTCAGGAGGCCAAACTGGTAGCTCAGTATGGAGCAGTGAAGAGTGGAACATTGTCCTGGTGAAGAGGAGAAAGCAGCAGCCTGGGAGCTCTTTTGAAGTAAAAATGGACAGAATGTAGTGTTAGTTCTGCTGTAGAAGGAGGAGTCAAAGATAATGCTCAGGAATGTGGAAGGACAGGGAAACTGCTCATGGAAACTAGTTTTAGCTGAAGAGGGTGAATTTGAGGTGAAGAGCACCTGGGCGTAGCAGACAGTGAATATGTATGTGTTGAAAATAACTGAATGAACTGAGAGGTTTTCAGCATTGTGCTTTTAAAGTAAACTTCATCCACCATAGTCACAAGCCTAATTGAATAATTCAGATCAGCACATACTTATAGAACTCTCCCTCCATGTGCAGAGGTCCTTCTGGGAGTCTTTCATTGATCTCTTTCCATTAAGTATTTTTTTTTAAATTTTGGAAACATTAAGTAATGCTCAGGTCACCAAAGACTTTTGTTTGTTTCTCCCTTTGGTGCTAGTCTTTTGACCTTTCTAGAGGAATCCTGATTTCCAGTGGAAATTTTTTCCTGAGTTGCCACGTGGATATGACTGGATAAAAGAGCTGTGAACATTAAAAGTCCATGTGTTGATCTTTTGCATCTACGGGTTATGGGCTTGACTCTAGATTCCTGTGTGACTTTCCTTATAAGCAGAAAAAATGAAGACCTTGAAAGTCCAAGCCACTATTTTGAGCAGTTGGATTCTGGTTTCCTAATTAGTGAACTAATATGGTGCCAGGTTGGACAAAATTGGATCTTCTCTGCAAACGTGGAGTACGATGTGTACAATATCTCCAGTTTTGGGTTGTGTGCTGGTGTTTGGGTTGTTGGCCTCTGTATTTGGGCTGCAGTCTTGGGAGGATGCAGACAACTGCTTGCGTGGAGAGAGAAGGGAGCTAGCCTCCTAGCCATTTAGGATTGGGATGGCATGCTTTTGGTGTTCTGTGGCTGTTGTGCTGTTAATCCTGTCCTTTAAACTTCCACCTTTAGCCCAAGCCAGACCCGATCATCTATGGTCCAGTGGCTTAACCCACAGTCTCCAATCACACCAAGCTGCAACCCAGCTGTTACACCTCCTTCACCCCAGTTGTCACCTTTCCCCCTCTCTTCTGCCACCGTAGCAGACAAGCCGCCTGAAAGGTATGTGGTTTGGAGTATGATGTGGAACACGGTGGCAGCACACACAGGGGGCTTGATAACCCTGAGCAGGTTCTAGTGTTCTCTGCTGGAAAAGGCTCCCCAGTGCTCTGTACTTTATGGATAACAGTTACAGCCTTGTATGGGGCTGTGCCTCGGTTCAGTAGCAAGTACTTTCTCTGGAGAAATTTGCCTTCCATGAGACCTGCTTGAACCTGCTCTGTCCTATTGGTGCTGCTTGTGTATTTAAGAAACTACTCATTTTGGAAGAACTTCTTGCACATAAATACAATGCACATTCTTTGTGTTAAAGGAAGGCAAGCTGGGTACTGGAAATATTAATGTACATGGCCATTGAGTGGCCAGTTCTGTAGAGGACAGAGGTGCTGCTGGCCTTCAGCAAGCCCTTCCACCTGGGAAGTGGCTGGGGTGGTTCATACTATCAGTGGCTTCCCTACTCCAGTGAGGTGGGACATTTCCTTCTGCTTTGGTTTGGATCTGGCCCAAACATGGTTTCCATCCTTCCTCCATGTGCCCTTTTCCTCACAAGGGCTCAGAGGATGTTTTGACAACGTGGTGAGAAGCTGAGCCTGGTGTGCCATCCTGGGGGTGGGGGCAAGAAGGTCTTAATCAAGAAGACCCAGTAAGAACAGCAAGCCTCTTCCCCAGTGGTGTGGGGAGCAGGTGTCATGCAGATGGATTTGGGTCCGTGGTGCATTGTGAGCCTGTGTCACATGCGTGTGCCTCTTCCCTATACCACTGGCTTTTGCCTCCAGATGCTGGGGCTTCTCCTAATGGACAGACAGGAGCAGGTGTCATGCAGATGGATTTGGGTCCGTGGTGCATTGTGAGCCTGTGTCACATGCGTGCGCCTCTTCCCTATACCACTGGCTTTTGCCTCCAGATGCTGGGGCTTCTCCTAATGGACAGACTGAAGTGTGGAGGAAATAAACATGCCTTGTGGTTCTGACAATGCCCACCATAGGAAAGGGCATCCCACCAGGCAGGGAGGAGAATTAGGTGAAGTGGTTCAGTGAGCTTCTGAGAGAGGCTCCCTTAGGAAAGCATTGAATTTGAAACCCATCATTTATATGTGCTGCGACTTTTCCTGATGTTCACTTCCCTGCTAATTTCTTTTTTGGAAGGAGTTGCCCCACCGATGACATACAAATGAGATGGGAAATGGGGGCTGGGGGACAGTGAGGTTTCTTTCTTCCAGTTTTTCACATTCTTGTGTCTTTCCTGTTCCACTTTCAGCATCATCAATCGGAAGGCTCGAGCAGTGTATCCGTGTGAAGCAGAACACAGCTCAGAATTATCTTTTGACATAGGAGCAATTTTTGAAGATGGTAAGTGTTCGTGGGAGCTTTGCAGTAGGATATATTTTCACCCAGAAAATCTACAGCACAGAGCAAGCAGCCACTGGTTGTAAGTTGTTGGGAAGGCAACAACTGCCCTGATGCTTTGGGCAGGAGATAGCTGATCCATTTGGCTCACAGACACTGATGCCAGGGGCTGTCGATGGCAGGAATACCACTTCTGCTTCAGTCTTGATTATTCTCCACCCCTTTTTAACTCTTGGGTCTTCATTCAGGTCACCTATTATGATGTAAAGACGTTAGTAAGAAATATTTCTGGAGTTAGGAAACATTCCTGGTTTACATCCTTTGTTTTTGTTGTTCTCCCAGAGTCCCTGACCAAGCCTCCTAAGTGTCTCAGGTTTGACAGATCTGAGTTAACAGAGAAGAGCACTGTACTCGAAAAATTTGATTTGCAATTCCCTTACCGTTCTTGCACTTTACATTTTTGCTGATTTGAACAGTGTGTGAATCTCCAGATATGGGTATCGACTTTGCATATTGAAACAAGGATGTAGATTGTTGAGTGTTTAATATTCACACACAAGCATTTAGGAGTTATACCTGGTTTAATATTTCAGAAATTTCTCTTATAGTTCAGTGTATGTATCCCCCTCACCCCCAATTTCTTCCCTCCCCAGTCCCGCTCATTCATTGGTTGCTGTGGAAACAGTGATGTGTGTGGGTGGAGCTCTCCTAAAGAGTTCTGGGAAAGCAGTGGAATCCTTAGGTGCTTGGAATGGAATGGTTGATTAGCCAGAATGTTTGCAATATGTGGAACAGATCAACATGATGCCTAGTGGTGTATTGTCAGTAATGCAGCATTGGCTGACGATTGGTTTTTAGAAAGCAAGTTGCCTCATTTAGCATAGATTTCTGTATGTGTGTGATGTGTGCTCTTGAGAGCCAGAGATTCCTGGTAGTGTCAGAAAACAAACAACAACAAAACCNGGCAAGAAGGTCTTAATCAAGAAGACCCAGTAAGAACAGCAAGCCTCTTCCCCAGTGGTGTGAGGAGCAGGTGTCATGCAGATGGATTTGGGTCCGTGGTGCATTGTGAGCCTGTGTCACATGCGTGTGCCTCTTCCCTATACCACTGGCTTTTGCCTCCAGATGCTGGGGCTTCTCCTAATGGACAGACTGAAGTGTGGAGGAAATAAACATGCCTTGTGGTTCTGACAATGCCCACCATAGGAAAGGGCATCCCACCAGGCAGGGAGGAGAATTAGGTGAAGTGGTTCAGTGAGCTTCTGAGAGAGGCTCCCTTAGGAAAGCATTGAATTTGAAACCCATCATTTATATGTGCTGCGACTTTTCCTGATGTTCACTTCCCTGCTAATTTCTTTTTTGGAAGGAGTTGCCCCACCGATGACATACAAATGAGATGGGAAATGGGGGCTGGGGGACAGTGAGGTTTCTTTCTTCCAGTTTTTCACATTCTTGTGTCTTTCCTGTTCCACTTTCAGCATCATCAATCGGAAGGCTCGAGCAGTGTATCCGTGTGAAGCAGAACACAGCTCAGAATTATCTTTTGACATAGGAGCAATTTTTGAAGATGGTAAGTGTTCGTGGGAGCTTTGCAGTAGGATATATTTTCACCCAGAAAATCTACAGCACAGAGCAAGCAGCCACTGGTTGTAAGTTGTTGGGAAGGCAACAACTGCCCTGATGCTTTGGGCAGGAGATAGCTGATCCATTTGGCTCACAGACACTGATGCCAGGGGCTGTCGATGGCAGGAATACCACTTCTGCTTCAGTCTTGATTATTCTCCACCCCTTTTTAACTCTTGGGTCTTCATTCAGGTCACCTATTATGATGTAAAGACGTTAGTAAGAAATATTTCTGGAGTTAGGAAACATTCCTGGTTTACATCCTTTGTTTTTGTTGTTCTCCCAGAGTCCCTGACCAAGCCTCCTAAGTGTCTCAGGTTTGACAGATCTGAGTTAACAGAGAAGAGCACTGTACTCGAAAAATTTGATTTGCAATTCCCTTACCGTTCTTGCACTTTACATTTTTGCTGATTTGAACAGTGTGTGAATCTCCAGATATGGGTATCGACTTTGCATATTGAAACAAGGATGTAGATTGTTGAGTGTTTAATATTCACACACAAGCATTTAGGAGTTATACCTGGTTTAATATTTCAGAAATTTCTCTTATAGTTCAGTGTATGTATCCCCCTCACCCCCAATTTCTTCCCTCCCCAGTCCCGCTCATTCATTGGTTGCTGTGGAAACAGTGATGTGTGTGGGTGGAGCTCTCCTAAAGAGTTCTGGGAAAGCAGTGGAATCCTTAGGTGCTTGGAATGGAATGGTTGATTAGCCAGAATGTTTGCAATATGTGGAACAGATCAACATGATGCCTAGTGGTGTATTGTCAGTAATGCAGCATTGGCTGACGATTGGTTTTTAGAAAGCAAGTTGCCTCATTTAGCATAGATTTCTGTATGTGTGTGATGTGTGCTCTTGAGAGCCAGAGATTCCTGGTAGTGTCAGAAAACAAACAACAACAAAACCCTGTGTACAACAGAATTATACTTGGTGGAGAGATTTTGTTCTTGGAGTGGAAGCAAGATCATTCCTCTGTCACCATAACATACACACAGACAATTGTGCCAGGAGAGCGCATCGTGATATACCGTGGATGTGGAGGTTTTGAGCCAAGTCGTGTCTCCCTCAGATCCAGGGCTCTGTAGCGCTGCTCTCCAGCTCTGTCTGGATGTGGCAGGCCGGGGCACCCCTGGGGTCTTGGTAGCTCTCAGCCTCTCCCCCACAGCCGGCTACTCCAAAAATGCCTTGTTGATGTGTTGACACTCTCTCGCTACTCAAGTGTGTGAGCGTCTCATTTTGTGTGAGCTGCTTGTGTTGCAGGCGCCTCCCCAGTTCTTTTGTAGCTCCTCAGAGAAGCATAGTGGAAAGCACTCAGAATTGACACCGTTAGGCCTGCTGTTTTTTAGGGAATGCCTTTAAAGGGCACATAGGTTGAAGGCCCTCAAGCAGGTTTTATTCTCTTGTGTGTGTGTTTGCACCTTCATCTTCTGTGCATAGTTCATCTCTTTGCTAGTAAAAAGCATGTGCTTGCTCAGAACATGTCTAGTGAAGACCTTCCTCGAATGGTTGTGGGGTCTTCCTTTCTGACGACTGGCACAGAGCCAGACAGACTGTCAGGTCACAGGACCTCAGCTTCTGTGGAGCCAGGCAGTGCTCCAGGTGGCCACTACTTGCAACTCAGCCCATGGAGTGTCTCCGAGAACACTCCTTTTCTTCAGACCAGCAATACTTAATGTCCCTGAAACACCCAAGACATTTTTCCCATGTTCGCTTATCCGTCTGGAATCTTCCAGCATTCACAGGTGCTCTGGCAGTGCAGTCCCTTTTTGTTCCTCATAGAGGAAACAAAGGAAATTGGTTTATGGCATTCAGTGGCCTTTGGAGAAAACAAAAGCCAGGTCAGAATGACTCCTGGGCCACATTGTCAGTAGTTATGTGGTTTGGAATATTTACAGCAGTGAGCAATCCTAAGCCAAAGTGTGGAAGGGAAAGGGGTCTTTAGTAATTATTTAGTTCAATAACTGTTTCTTGCATTTTGTTCTTGTCATGTGGGCTTGGACTTAAGTTATAAGTTAAAATTGTAGGCAGAAGATTTGTTTCTGTAGTAGACACACTAATGCTTAGCTATTCTGGGGAAATGCCCACAGTATTCCCTTAGGGAGGGCTGTGTTTGTAAAGTCTTAGGTCAGCTGAAGTTCCCATGACTGCCAGACGGAACTTTCCCTTTTCTGTGGGCCTGGGGAACCCCAGAAATGCATTTCACTGGTGACCAGTCAGTCCTGCTCTCTTTCCAGACAGGCATCTTTGCCGCTGCCAGACCCTTTAGTCAGGTGGAAAGTGGTTGTCCTCCCTGGGGCTGTCCAGTAGGAACTGTGAGCTGCTGGGGCAGGAGGATTTCCAGGAGCTCACCCACTCTCAGCAGGCTCTTTGTTGACTTCCACGTGCAGACATGATCTCTCATGATTATTGGAGGAGCAGGTGTGGCCCAGATTAATCCTGAAAAGCCTCTGGTGATTAAACTTTAAAGGTCTCAAATAGACCCAGAATAATCTTTGGGAAACATTTTGGCATTATCTTGGAAAATTGATCATGTATAGACCCCACAATGCAACAGTTTTATTTCTAGATATATTCCTAACAAAGGGAAATCGTAGAAAAAATGTTAAGTAAAAAAATAAGTGCCAGGTGAGTATATATAAGGTGATGTTGTTTAAGCTAAGAAATAAGCAGAATACAAGGGTACTTCCAAAAGTTCATGGAAAAAAATAATACAGCTCTTTCCATGAACTTTTTCAAGTACCCTCGTAAGTAGTATATTAGGAATGTGTATTTGTGTAATAGAACTGTATGGTAACTGTAGCTGGGGTCAGAGAATGAGAAACAACATTGTAGCCACTGATCACCTTTGGGGCAGGGAGGGGTGTGAGGCCAGGATTGGGACAGAGCCCACGGACACTGGCCACCATATGGCCAAGGTGTGCATTCCTGGTATTCACTGTATTTTGATGATGCTCTGATGATTTAAATATATGCCACGTACATTGTTTATATCATGCTGATAAAAATACAACTGAGTACAAGATTCTGTTCTAGAGATAGCTTCTCAAAAATTATTATTGTACTAGCTCCAATGTCCCTTTTGTTATGGGATGATAAATCATGATGACATGGTAAAAGCATGAGATACCACTTCACACTCATTAGAATGGCTGTTATCCACAAAATGGAAAATGACAGGTGATGCCGAGGATGTGAGAAGTGGGAGCCCCGTGCATGCCGTGGGAACGCGAGAGGGTGTAGACGACGTGGAAGGTAGGACCTCAGCACCTGCCTCAAAGAGTCATCGCAGACCTCTCATACGATGCGGCACTTCCATTTCTGGATATATTCTGGATATCTACCCCAAAGAATTGAAAGCAGGGGCTTGAACAGGTCATTTG